TCGGAGATTCGTATGCCAGAGTATCCAAGCTTGCTATATCGACATGCTGAATCAACACTCGATATTGAGAAATCTATTATGTCGAAATAACTTTCTTTGTTTGTCGTTTAACGCCGAGCATTCAAGCTATATGAAGTAGGCATGTTTTATTCGAGACCGGACCAAACCAGTGATTGATGTGACGAGCAACGCCCCACCGTTTGGGTACGTTAACACGCAATCAACCAGCATAACCACCCGATCCATTTTGTTGTCTCTTTAAAAAAATGCTCCAATAACTTGCAATGCTGAGGTCATCAACCGTAAGTGAATATATTTTGTCAACACGAACGCAACAAAATAGTTTCATATCTTACTTATTTGCATGAATTATCGACACAAATATATTAAGAGTCGCATGTTAGAATGTCGCATGACTTTCGTCTCATCTTTTATTTACATATATTCTCCTCCATTGACAATTTATATTTTGTTGAATCTCCACTTAAAAATTGAATAGTTGGGCATTCACTTTATTTTAAAATATCACGAATTGAATTTGGTTTTCAAATGAGGCTTGATGTCAAGGGAGGAGACTGCGATTTAGCAAAGCCGGTTTTCTGGCGTACGAAAGGTAATTACGTCAACATCACCGGTAGGCAAACTCCTCAACATTCACACGAGCACTCGGCTACGGTGCGACTACCCTCCACGACCAACCTAGACGGGGGCACTACAAAAAACCTTAAAAGCTGCAACAAAAGCAAATTTAATAAACAGCCAAAATTAAATCTACAAACAATAACAATAGCACCACAGTGATGTCTAGAGACTACCAAAAACAACACACCGCTAATGGAATGTCTTCTGTACAAAACATGTGCGGCTATGATTCATAGTGCCTCATTCGTAAAAAAATTAATTAATTTTACATTTCAGAAATGATCTACTCCTAAACCATCAAATCTTTATTAAACTCCAAACAAGCGTTTCCATACTGATCCAATTTGAAAGCTGATAATCATGATATTGATATTAATTATGACCATAGGTATTATTAACGAGTGACAATATTTAGAAAAACATGTTCAGAATGAGGCACTATTTCCTAATATAAAATTTACACACACAAGACCCAGAGCAAATCTAACTTTAATCAAATATTTTATATCAAATTTTAGAAAATACAAACAGAGTAAGGAAAGGAAATAGTATAGGAAAGAACAATGAGAGACAGATCTAGAGAGACAGATCTAGAGAGACAAAAGAGAAGACAATGGTCTGTTTGCTCTGGACCAGAAATCACTCAACCAATGCACATGTTGCTGTCACACCAGTATATGCACCTAATAGTTTCCATAGTGACACAAACATAAACCTCGATACGGTCAAGATATAAAAACATTTAAGATTGAAAATCGCGATCGAAACATAAAATGAATTAGACAATGTGTTACATTTATAGAACATTGAAAAGAATCCATATTTAATATACATGTAATGAGACAAATAATTCATCGATTACATTAATTACATATATGACATTATTAGTATCATTCTGTTAAAAAACGCTTTTGTGTAAAGCAACTTATAAAAGGACAGAAAATTCATCTAATAGTCCATTTAAATCGATGTCTATTGTTTAGAATGATTGCCAATACAGCATTTCAGTCATGTTGGAAAAGTCATCATTTTCAGAAGCTGTTGATATATATGTCTAATAAAGGCACACTTTATTTCTCATCTATCGGTTGCCACAATACAACCAAGGCAAACGGTAACTTCTATCACGTGACTTCTCTACGTTACTGTAGGTAAAACGGATCTACTTTCATAGTTCACGATGTCGATACACGAGTACCTGCAACTCACTCCGCCGTAGCGAAAGTAGTCTCAGGTGTCACGCATGCGCAAAACGTTACCATCACACTTACCTCTTCTGCCATTTTGATTCTGAAATGAACAAGAAATGAACAACATTATTCAGAGGTATTCAAAAGAAACTGATTTAGCATTGTGCAATATACATGAAATAGACGCATGTACTTTATTATTAAAAGGAAAAACTAATTCTAGAATAATCTTTTTTTTCAAGTGATATATATATCAGTTCCTACTTTTTGGATACAGTCACATATAAGTGTTTCAGGGGTTGCTTGATGTTTTATACGATGATATTCGCAGTAATACACATCAGCACATTTTTTCGTCCGCCTACATACATAACTGTTGGCAGTAAGCGATAAGGTAGGTAATATTGGCAAGGCGCCAACTCGTCTACACCGGCGGTACCATCTGAGTCTTCGATCAAAGGAACATTCCTTGCACGTTGCCATAGTAACGAAGAGAGCACATCCAGAATTCTCAAAAGATCCCATATATCTGTCCCGACCTGTGCTCATCCTTCAGTGAATGCCGCTTCACTTAGACGATGTGTAGACAAGAAATACATTTATGTTGTTCGTTACAATAAACTTAACAATGTAATCAAACTTGTTTCGATCCATATGTAAATCTTCTTTCCGTTCGTGATCGCGTCAGTATCCATTTAGAAAAGAAAATAAAATTTTCAAATAAGTAAGAATTAAATGTCTAACTTTTCAAGTTACTCTTATGAGACAAGTATTGTACACTAGTATGCACTTCCGATTCACCTGGCAAGTGTTTAATCGTATCTTAAAACAAAACTTTAATTATTTAAAACTGGGGAAATATTGATCATCCTTTTCCTGTACGTACAACTTTACCACAATCTTGTTCAATTCATACCATACCATACCATTATATTACATTACATTTGTTTTCAAACTACATTGTTAGAATGTCCCTACTTTGTATCTGGAATATATCTATATGTTCTCTATTCACAATGCACACATTTGTAAAATATTGCCACTGTTTCTTCATGGGACGTCACACAATACTTATCTTATCCTATCCTATATTATCCCCTTTTGTCTCATAATACTGACCTTGTATGGGATCATTATGAGTAGATATGTTTTTTGTTCACGTTCCATCCCGAAGGCTTACAAGGTGAAAAGGTTGCCAAAGGTCAAAAGAACTATACGGGCTACGCACCGACACAAATGCCAAAACTATGCAAAAGATGTAGAAACTAGGTTAAAAGAAATACACCTGTTTCAGGACTGTTGGCATATATTATTGTAAACTTTAAATAAAGTGTTTATAATTATCGTCTTCATTTATTACCAGAAACATATTTATTCCAGGTCTTCAGTGAGTGTAACACATGATGTGATTTGACCTATGTTGACAATTTAGTCAAGCACGTTAATCAAGTATAAAGCATCCCATGGCATAATGACTGATGCAGTGAATCGCACTGTCCCCTCCCCCTCCCTCTCAGGAACCCGTACCAGATTCAGCCATCGTACTTTGAGATCCCCGACCTCTACAAATACAGACGGTACTTCCAAGAAAACGTCTATAATTGGCACGGGGAAACCTAATACCCCCCTCACCACAGCTTCCTACGGTGCACGCGCCTCCACCACCTCTCGGCTTCAGCGAAACAGATAGCAACCAGTGAGGCCCCTTTAGGGTTGAGTGATTGAGCGTGTGTTATTGATGGTGTCAGTTACAGTTAAAATGGCAGTTACACGCAGGTTATTTTATAAAACGGTTTTCGTTTCAAAGTTGAAAACAGTTTCAACTGAATGTTGTTTCTTGGATTGGCCTTTTTTCAAATAATCCTCATGAGTGCCCCAGATGTTTCTGAAGACGATGGTAGACCTATGCTCTTTTCCATCTTGTTACCTTTACTACCAAGCGAATGAACCATCTGGATTGAATAGCAACACACACACTACCTCCGAACATTGCCCTCTCTCTAGATGGACATGGAATTTTTTCAGATACCAATAAAGAGATTATAGACTGTGGCACCAAATGTATATGCACCCCATCCCCCAATTCCCCATGCGTCTTTTTGATAAACGGAAATTGTTCTAGGGATATGATATTCCATGTAACCTTGAAATATTAATCATGTATGTTATCTGTATAATGTTAAAGATTCACAATTTTGAAATTGACAATAAAAAGTAACAACAGCTGAAATCGACAATGCTTGTTCATTTCACGGCTGAAATGTACGTTGATGTTGAAACAGGAGGAGTGACTGTTATTTCACTTCAGCCTCGCTGAGTAGTGACGAAGACGCCACTGCCAACATATGTCATATTTTTTTTCAGGCAACAAACGGCTGAGTAATCACCTTTTTTAACAAGACAAACAGAATATACTATCATTATAAACAAAATACTATTTTGGCTCAAGATATCAAACAAATATCCTCCTAGTCACAAGATATCAAACAAAAATCCTCCCAGACATTTCAAGGTCTAGTTGCCAATTTCACCGTATGCCCTGTCAGTCAGGACAAAGACAACATCGACGTGAAATTGACAAGGTAGTAAAGGAGAGCACGCGAGAGGCATAATTTACGATGGTACTACTGTTTATGTTACCGTGTTAATTAATACCACCTGGCAAAGTAGCGAAAGTCATAACACAATCCTTGCGCTCCTTGATACCCGATGACAGACGCGAAGCTACTGGGGTATAACGCCGGTATGCGTTAGAAGAAATGCATATGACACATGTACATTGTTAAGAACAATTACCCTAACTGTGTCAGCTGCAAAGCAGGAATAACCTAGCATATCGCAGCAACGGATCATTTAATCTAATGGGATAAAATCAAATAATAGTACATATCTATTAAACTCTTTTTTATAAAAAATCGTAAATTTTCGCAGAACATTCCCAGGGATGGCAAAATGAACTTGAAACCATATAAACAATTTTAAATGTACTTACCTTTAATTTGGTTCCGAAGACTGGTCTAAGATCTAAATACCGGTAGCGGACACTCGACTGGGCTGAGCACAGGGCGCTACGAAAGTGATTTCACCAGACTCCGTTATTATGCATACCTCAAGCCGATGACGTCACGGCCTCGATTCTCCATATCGGGAAGGCTGCCCTTTAGCCACGCAGGGTGAGGCTCGCTCGAGAGGGGGGCGAGGCAAGAAAGGCACTACCAATCGAAAAGTCGTGAAAAATCTCCCATTACATTCACAAAACGCGTCGCGAAACTATTTATGCCACGGTCGTACGGATGTTGTTAAATGTCATAATCTCTGTCAACTCATTAAGATAAGACTGTGTCCGGAATCTCTAATTCTTCCTTTGGAAATAACTATGATGAGATGAATTGAAGATTTCACACGGGTTAGTGTATTTCCACTTTTACACTATTTTTGTTTTTTATGATTAATATCAATATCATTTTTTTTTCAATTTAAAGCACGAATCGGTACATGTAATTTTTTTCCTTACTTCCTGATTGTTTTGCCATACCTTCTGTTGGAACGTAACGAGATTTTGATAAGTGTTTCTCAGGGTGTGTATTTTTATATCAACTAGACGCTTACAAACTAAGTACATTTAGTCTGATAGTTATTGCAGACGTCTGTTGAACTTGATGATATAACGCCTGTTCCAGCATTCCAGGAGTCAACGCTTTAGGTGTCGATTTCTTGGCATGATGCCATCTACCTGCCACCTTGGTACTTTAGTGGTAACAAGGACGTACAGGTATTGTCCATCATTGCATGACCAATTACTTATTTTGACACTTCTGTGTTATGTGGTGTGTTGATGTTTGACACACGCAGAGGTGTGTTGCCTCACAGTATGGTACCTTACCGTTACTTCACGACCTGCAACGTGACTGAACATCTGTCTCTCTTCAGCAAAACAACTATCTTAATTACATATTCGGGTAATATAATACGTAAGTGTCTGTTAGAGACCATCATTCTCTTGCAGTATGCCTGTAACGCCTCATGGCAGAGAGAAAGACGTTATGACGTCATGACGTTATGACGACGTGTACTGTATAGTTTTGCAACACTTATGTCAACTGGGTATATATACTAATTTGCTATCTAAACAAATAATGCACTACTTTACAAGATGACGCGCCTGTCGTGATAGTTCTGATTGTCATCCGATCCAATAGATAAATTGATATTTATATAAAACAAACTATATATCGTATGTAGATAACCTATATTTATATGAACTTGTATGAAGAACAACATGCTTTCCGGAATTGGGTATAGCTTTCATCAGCCTTGAACACATGCTTCTAGCTGCTGCCACTGTAATGTAACGTCAAAACGCCATTTGTAATGTTACGCTTGATAAGGTCACGCGTCATGCACGAGTGTGACGTCACCATGCTACACGATGCTGTGTTATGATGTCAATATATATTATCTCTTCAGAGCCGTCCAAATTGCTTTGGTATCGATCAACTAACCCAATAACCGACCCGTTGTATCCTGATTTGACGTGATCAATCCAGCTATAAGTTGGTATTAAAAGTAAGATTTCTGATGTGTTATCACAAACGTTTGCTTATCCATGATAAACGATGTAAGTATTAACATAATATTCATGTTGTAATGTAAACAGTGTTAATGAAGTGCAGACTCCTTTTCTTAAAGAAATATAAATGGTTTAGATCTGATGCATTGCTGTGCATTCATCATGTGCCGTTGTTACAGAAGGACATTCTATTAAATATGCAGGCGTTAACAGTTTATGTATTCTGAATCTTTGTTTTCTGTTCAAATATCTGTTGCTGTTTTCCACAGTTTCTATTTTCGAGACACATACAAACATTTGCTTCCAGGGTACCGACGCCATGAATCATAAAATTATCTTTACGTTGCTAAATTCGGAATCTACTTTTTTAACCAGCATTTTGTCTATTGGATCACTATCAAACAGTGTTGACTACCATCCAGACTGCAGCCTCTCTCACTACGGGTCCAAGATGCCGGTGCAATAGCATTAATCAGAGTTCAACAGCAACTCATGAATTAAGCGCTTCCCTGCACGCAAGGTATTGCCATGTCCTCCACAGTAGAAATGCTGAGACTAAGTCTGATTATGTTTCTTGCAGATGTGTTAGATCAACAACTGTGATGACATAGTCTACATACCACCTCCTGCTGCAAACTAGGTATTTTATGTTGTGTTTTGTAAATGCAAGCTATTCTCGATGAGTGAAGGGTTCCTGCTTCTGGAATATGGCTGCTTCAACGTACATACAAACATACCTGGTTGCCCCTGGTTGTGGTAGGCTGTGGTGTTAGTTGCATGTACGAGAACTTAGTGTAGCCAGCAATAGCCCAAAGAAAAGCACAACCCGGTATTTTAAGAAAATTTCGGTTTGGCTGTACAACACCCAGTTTCCCCAGAACTGAGAGTCAAATTATGGTTTTCAGAAGATGCTTTCCATGTATGCTAGCCAATATTCTACCCTAGACGATACAGTTTTATAGTTCTGGGTTTATGTCAGTGTTAATGTATGCAACCTCAACCCCTGGGTGTGCCTGTCTGTTTCGCGATCCATGTTTTACATACATTTGAGCATGATTACTGAGGGTGAGGTTTTACTGCATGGTTTGGCGTCTCAAAACTGTATAACTGTACCGCTAATATTGTGTACTTGCAAAGTGATTTCACTATAAGAATGCATGTTCTTACACATTTTGCATGTTGTTTAAGGAACGATTCCTTCTTACATATAGCCGTATAAACGGTTATACTAAATGAGTTTCACCTTTAATATGTTCTTGTGTGAAATGCATTTAATCTTTGACTGATAAACGGTGCTATACGACGATAGATAAGTTTTGCCGTATTGCACCAGCTCATATTTTTATTCTTAGACTCCTTGTCGAGAATCTCTCATATTTAACATGTTTATGCGTGAATTTGCTATTTTCTACCAGTGTGTCTTACGTTCGTGTTTCTCCTTGATAACAAATCCAGATTTACTTTAAAAAACTTATAATAAAATAAAACCGCGCAAACTGATAATCACCATGAGCATGTAGTATTAATAACCGTACTAATATATTAAAATTAACCATAATGTCCATCTCGTTCACCAAAACACCAAGATGGCGGAACAACTTCCTCCATTAAAACGTCACTTCCCAAACGCCAGAACGAGGCTGGGCTTATATAGATTATGGGTTAGTCATGGCGTGCGCAGCCCGGCTTGTAATGCTGATATTTAGCCCCGTAGTGCCTGGCATAGCCAAATACAGTCAAGACAGGGACGGCGAGGGAACATCCCTTCCCCTGTTAATAATATCCCCCTGCCCGCTCCGTGAAACGCTAAACTTTGCAGATGTGCCGAGCACTGGTCTCCTCCATTCATCTAAGGCGATAGCATGCACAGCTGTCTGAGATAACATGTTATATAATGATGAGGTTGCAGCAACCACTGGATGGGGAAGAAAAGTCGTGTTACAGTTTCCACTTTTTTTGCAACTATCCAAGTATACATTAGTTAAAGTTGGAATTTGAAATGCTTTGAAAGTGTCTAGCTGTGAGCGGTGAGGCGATAACAGGTCACCTGCGTAAGAAACAGATAATCTTTGAAGAGACGGTTTGTTACTGAGACGTCTGTATATACATTTGTAACAAAGGTACCTTATATTCTGATATATAGCCCTATATCATACTAATTTGATCCTGTATAGTATTACAAATTGACATATATTCTTTGCGTGAAGAAAGACACATTCACCTTGTCCAAGATAAGAAAAGATATATTTATTGTAAGAAACATTTCATTACGGAACAGAGGCAATTTTGTAGACATAAACTGCCATAAACGTACATGTAGCATTTTGAGAGTATTTACAGAAGACATTTAAGAAAAGAATATAAGTTATGTACATACATACACATACACACACACATATTGACCTCAACAATCAAGCCATATAAGGCAGCATACCGTTAATGCTTGAATAGACGCCCGGGGGTAAGTTATTTCGGAGACATTTTACACCCAGCCTTTTTTGTCAAGGCAGTCGTCTATTTTTTAATTAAGGTAATAACTTTAACCTTCAATGAAGATTCGACGTCTAATTTGAATAAAACGTGTGTGGCTTGCATTGGGTATGATCACAGACAGACAGATAGACAGACAGGGAGGCAGACTTTATTTTGAGTCAAGCCATATTTGGCCTCTGGCCATGTACACAAAATACATATGATCATTGGCGTAATGGACATAATTATAATTACAATACTTTGTTATTTGTACAGAATAAAGTTTAGAACTTCGTCTACGATAAACAATAAAAATATAACTTAATTGCTGTTTCTTAATTTTAAAGACTACAGACATGTTTGGCTAAATTTCTTTCACAATCAATATTATCAGATGTAAATAACTGAACAAATTTGAATACTGATGGGTTTACAAAATAATTTTCTTACGAAACAAACATCTCAATTTTCTGTAGAAAAACAAATTAGTACAAAGTAAAATTTATCTTCACATCGTTGATATTACATTTTAAACATTTTCTCTCCCCTCGGAGAATCCTATTACTGCCATGTGGTGATAATCTTAATCTAGTCAATGCGACTCTATAATTATAGATTAAATTTAATACGTTACTAATATACTTTTCTATTCCAAAGATGGGCTTAAACTGTGTGCATAAAAGATATGATGATTCTCTTAATTCCTGATGTCATAGTGTTATATAATTATCTTCTGGACGCAGTCTCAGTAATTTACAAAAGGAAGAAACATTTACGTTAAAAGGTGAGATACACACATGGTAAAAGCTTTCGTTTCAAAATCACTTAATTTATCTATGTTTTGACCCGGCGCCTATTCAGTGCAGGCGTTTATTCATTTTGCGAGTCTGTCAGAGCCGTCGTGTATTAAAGGCCGGCGTCTATGCAAGGATTTACGGCACGTGAAACTAAAACACGAGGTAACTGTTTATTAATTTGGCACTTTCAGGGATCCTCGTTTCATTAATGGTCTCCACATGCACACTTTAACTCTATCAAGAATATATACACAGTAAAATACGTTAATATTAATGAAAAACATTTACAACAAAAGCCCCCATCTGTTTATCATATTTCAGTCATTCTAAAGTTGCATGGTTTATTGCCTCACGACTCCATTCTGTATATCCTTCATTTCCCTGACCCCCAGAGGCAGTGGGCAGGGAGCACATCTGATAATTGAGTCGATGGTCAGTTCAGCGGTCACTAGGGTTACCCATCATCATCTGGAGGTCATTATCAGCCTCGTTTATGGGCAGCAGCTGTCTGCACCCCTACATACATCACGGGGAAATGGCTGTTCTTGTATCTAGGAACAACAAAGAAAGTCAGTTTTGGCACATACGGACTTTACATATGATCCAAAACTATTACATACGTGCGCCCTGCAGCTGTTTATATGTTCCATTTAGCGAAAGGTTTGTATCTAAATGTTTGCATAATGTACACGTTATTAATAAGTAAACCATTAAAACAGCGCTAAATTCTCAATGGTACCCATAGTTAACTAAAAACGTTGAATGCCCCTTTAATAAACAAACGTGTATTGTAGAAAACAAATATATCTGACACATCTACACTAAATCTAAGAAATATTGTGATAGATCCCCAAAGATCCCCAAAGCATAAAGAGCGATGCATGTTTTGGTTATTTAATATATCTTTACGAATCCCACAATCGCTGAGATAAGTCACGGACTGATAACATTGAAGCCTTTTGACATACACGGGAGTATTATAAATACTTTGTTAAACTGAATCACGGACTTAGATGTTGAAATGAAAGTAAAGTTTAATCGTCTATCCTCTCTTGTACGTAATAACCATGCAGAAAGCAAAGTGATATGTTGCGGAAGCTAAAACCCGTTCGGTCAAAGCAGTTGTAATTCCTTGCAATAAATATAGGCTTTTCAACATGTGTTGACAATAATCTCTCCTTCGCGAGGTTCTTCTCAATTAACTGACATGTTCCCTGCACAAGTAAACAGACTACAATCCGTAAGCGCATCAGGGTTTTGTTGGTTGGCTAGGTTGAGGAACAAATATGTTTGTAGGCGTCACGCCAACACGTCTCGCTCTTTCACGTAAATGCACAGGGATGAGACGTATGTTTACAAGTTTGGACGAAAGAACTCGTGGTTTAAGAACCAATTATCTCTGCTCATTACCGGATACTTCAAACCAAAGTGCTGCTGTCGAGTGTTGTCTTACTCCACACCGTAAGCGTATGGTGCCCCGGTGGTACTGTCAGATTCACCCTATCAAAGTAGGTCAAAACTTCAAACGCCGTTCTTGTGAATATAATAATATGAAGTGTTTAGTGATCCCACCTCAGCCTGAAAGTTGGGTGATTTAATGCCTGTTGTTTATGTAAATGACATAAAACTAAAATACAAATGATGAAAATAAGATTTTAGTCGGTGTACAGATGCATAGAATAGAATTCTATTGTACAAAAACGCCCATTTGGGACCTGGTACAAAAATAGAGTATTTATATTGTACAGAGATGAGAACAGGATATATATACATAACATAAATGCATGAAAACATGACGGAAATGGAAATACAGGTCATAGAACCTTATCACATGTATGATTTTTACACGTTTTTAAAGTTATTGGCAACGTTCATCGGGGTATATTTGGGAGATAAAGGTATCTGATTATGCTTTGTGCACAGATTTGTGGCAGATACAGACTTATCCACTTAGGGCCCTTATGTTGGTCTCAGCTGAAACATGTCCTGGCAACAAAACTTGACCATTCTTTTGGAGGGTTCATGATGCATATGCGGGTTCTTAGCTGGAATTTATTTATTTGAAATTCTGCTGCGCAGTGTATAAGAAGGACAAATCGTGTCGTGTCACTCGCCTAATTTATACATGTGTGTGACTCGTGTGGACAACAGACAAAGGAAGTGTGTTGGTTACATCATACCGATCTAGAATAAGAAAATCTCCACCTGTCATTCCTTGAACCTAACCTGTCATACTTTATTTTGCAATCCTAACCGTCAGTTCAAACGTTAAGAGCGATTGTTTCACCCATGGTCCATTAAATATCAGTAGATAGAGATTTTGAAGAAATTATTTACTTATATATTTGTATTAAATATCGGACACAAAAAC